TAGGCACCTTTCACAACTGAAATGAAGTCTCTGACAGCACCCTCTGGTCTGACAGGAATGCTACAGAGTTCTGTTCCTTCCACATAAACGTCACATAAACAGCACCCAGGTAACATGAAATCTGCTTCTTTGAGATGTTCTGTATTTGCTCATTTCCCCATTGAATGAGCCTGCCATATACATAGATCTATAACTGGGTCCATGCTATAACTGGGTCCATGTCTTCACCTCATGTTTTCCTAGGACTGTCAATCCCTCCAGCCCTATTCCTACACAGAATCCCAGTGCAGCAATATGGAAGGACAAGTCTGGTCAACAGCTGAAGACAATTGCATGGTGTATGGACAAAAGCTAAGGATTAAGTTGTCTTTAAGGAATGCAGTACACAGGGTTTCCAGCATAAGTGCTAGCATTTCCAATATCTTTCTAAAGGTAGCTTCATAGAAAAATTATAACAACAACCATGGGAGCTCTCCTCCTTAGGTCCTTAGCTGAAACCTGTAAGGAGGTTACGAACAATAGGCAACACTCTGATAAGGATTGCCAGCCAGAGGTGTTGGGATAGTCCTCAGCCAACAAGCTGAGCTGGTCCCAAATAATAGGATTAGCCTTTAAAGGAGATAACTGGTTATATGTGAGGGCCACATCTTGAGACATATCCAACTGGAGGAATTTGTAATTTGTTGAGTTTCCCCTGTTGAGAAAATATAATCAGGATTTTTGAAAATCTTTTTCTCTTGACAGAAATTAGCAAGCAGCACTTGAATTAGCTGGAATAACAAGGCACAATGAGAAAGGGCAATACTTCTGTCTAAGCAGATCTCTCTGCAAATTTATCTTTCAAAGTCTTCAGTGAAAGATTTTCTTATTCTCTGGAGATAATATACATACACACATATAAATATGTATACATATTAACCAGACAATAGAATCATAGAACAGTTTGGGTTGGAAGGGACCTTCAAGATCACCTAGTTCCAAACCCCCTGCCTTTGGCAGGGACACCTTCCACTAGATCAGGTTGCTCAAAGCCTCATTCAACCTGGCCTTGAACACTTCCAGGGATGGGGCAGCCACAACTTGTCTGAGAAACCTGTTCCAGTGCCTCACCACCCTCACTGTAAAATTTTTTTCCTTCTATCTAATCTAAATCTACCAGTTTAAAGCCATTGCTCCTTGTCCTACCACTACACACCTTTGCAAAAAGTCCTTCTCCAGCTTTCTCATAGGCCCCCTTCAGGTACTGGAAGGCTGGTATAAGGTCTCTCTAGAGCCTTCTCTTCTCCAGATCGAACTACCCCAACTCTCTCAGCCTCTCTTCATAGCAGAGGTGTTCCAGCCCTCAGATCATCTTTGTGGCCCTCCTCTGGAACCTCTCCAACAGGTCCACGTCCTTCTTATGTTGGGGGCCCCAGAGCTGAACACAGTACTGCAGATGGGGTCTCCCAATAGCAGAGTAGAGGGGCAGGATCCCCTCCCTCAACCTGCTGGCCACACTTCTTTGAATGCAGCCCAGGATACAGTTGGCTTTATGGGCTGCAAGTGCACATTGCCGGCTCATGCTGAGCTTGTCATCTTCTCAACACCCCAAGTTCTTCTCAGGGCTGCTCTTGATCCATTCTCCTGTACTTGTGCTTGGGATTACCCCAACCCATGTGCAGGAGCTTGCACTTGGCCCTCTCTCAAGCCTGTCAAGGTCTCACTGGATAGCATCCCTTCCCTCCAGCATGTCGACCACACCACACGGTTTGGTGTCATCAGCAAACTTGCTGAGGGTGCACTTGATCCCACTGTCCATGTTGCCAACAAAGATGTCAAACAGTGTCAGTCTTAATACTGACCCCTGAGAAACACCACTCATCACTGCTCTCTGCTTGGACATCGAGCCATTGACTGCAACTCTCTGAGCGTGACCATCCAGTCAATTCCTTATCCCACGAGTGGTCCATCCCTCAAATCCACGTCTCTTCAATTTAAAGACAACGATGTTGTGCAGGACAGTGTCAAATGCTTTGGGCAAGTCCAGGTAATGATGTCAGTTGCTCTTTTCTTATCCATCAACACTGTAACCCCATTGAGGAAGGCCACCAAATTTATTAGGCACGATTTGCCCTTAGTGAAACCATGCTGGCTGCCACCAATCACCCCCTTATTTCCCATGTGCCTTAGCATAGTTGCCAGGAGGATCTGCTCCATGGTCTTGCCAGGCACAGAGGTGAGACTGACTGGCCTGTAGTTCCCTGGGTCTTCTTTTTTCCCTTTTTAAAAATGGGGCTATGTTTCTCTTTTTCCAGTCGGTGGAAACTTCATCAGACTGTCGCAACTTCTCAAATATGATGGATAGTGGCTTAGGAACTTCATCTGCCAGTTCCCTCAGGACCTGCAGATGCATCTCATCTTTGTGTTCCTTAGATGGTCTTGAACCTGATCTTCACCTACAGTGGGCGGTTCTCCATTTTCCCAGTCCCTGCCTTTGCCTCGTGTGACTTGGACACTGCAGCCAGAGCACTTGCCAGTGAAGGCTGAGGCAAAAAAAGTCCTTGAGTACCTGTGGCTTCTCCATATCCTGGGTAACCAGGTCTCTCGTTTCCTTCCAGAGAGGGCCCACATTTTCCCTAGTTCTCCTTTTATCACTGACATACCTACAGAAGCTTTTCTTGTTGCCCTTGATGTCCCTGGCCGGATTTAATTCTGTCAGGGCTTCAGCTTTCCTAACCTGATCCCTGGCTGCTCAGACAATTTCTCTGTGTTCCTCCCAGGCTACCTGTACTTGCTTCCACCCTCTGGGGCTTCCCTTTTGTGCTTAAGTTTGTTCAGGAGCTCCTTGTTCATCCACGCAGGCCTCCTTGCATTTTTGCCCGATTTCTTCTTTGTTGGGATGCATGGCTCCTGAGCTTGGAAGAGGTGATCCTTGAATATTAACCATCTTGGGCCCTTCTTCCCTCCAGGGCTTTATCCTATGGTACTCTACCAAGCAGATCCCTGAAGAGGCCAAAGGCTGCTCTCCTGAAGACCAGGGTAGTGAGCTTGCCAAGTGCCCTCAGGATCCTGAACTCCACCATTTCATGACCACTACAGCCAAGGCTGCCCTTGAGCTTCACATTCCTCACCAGCCCCTCCTTGTTGGTGAGAACAAGGTCCAGCGTAGCACCTCTCCTCATTGGTTCATCTACCACTTGGAGAACGATGTTATCACCAACGCATTCCAGGAACCTCCTGGATTGCTTATGCCCTGCTGTGTTGTCCCTCCAACAGATATTGGAGTGGTTGAAGCCCCCCATGAGGACCAGGGCTTGGAAATGTGAGGCTGCTCCTAACTGTTTAAGAGGGCCTCTTCCACTCAGTCTTCCTGGTCAAGTGGCCTGTAGCAGACCCCCACTATAACATCACCTGTCCCTGTCCTCTTTTTAATGCTGACCTATAAGCTCCCGGTCAGTTCCCCATCCATCATCAGGCAGAGCTACATGCCTTCCAGCTGGTCACTGACATAGAGAGTGACATCTCTTCCTCGTCTCCTCTGCCTGTCCTTCCTAAAGTCTGTGTACTTCCATTCTGACACTCCAGTCAGAGGAGCCATGCCATCACACCTCCAGATCATAGCTCTGCAGGCACACACACATCTCTAACACTCTTGTTTATTCCCTATGCTACATGCGTTTGTAGATTTGTTATGCACATAAGTTGGGCCCCTGATGAAGTTGACTTACTGGTTGGAGAGGCTGGAATTCCTTTCTGCTGCTCTTCAGGTGCTCTCAGCTTGTCTTGATGAAGCCTGATGTTATCCCTCTCCCCCTTCAAAGCTAGTCTAAAGCCCTGTCAACAAGCCCCAGTAGATGATGAGCAGAGATCATCTATTTGAGCAGAGAAGTATGGTATTCAACTTAGAGGCGGTCTGATTTTGAGAAGATGAAGAGACCAAACACATCCTTAGCGGCTCTGGAGTCACTCTCAGGACTGATTCCTTTACTGGATCAAAGTACAGATTCACAATGCGAAATTCAGTATACTCTGACCCATCTTTCAAGTGGTTACAACTTCATTTTACAGCAGTGAAATAAAGTTCACTCAAATTTTGGAGACTTGAGTTCAGCTGAACTCAGTGTTAAAATGAAATGACAAGATACATTTTGTAGCAGAGTTCCTTCAAAATGGCACGTTGGAAACATTTTACAGAATACAAATTATATATATACTCACAGAATATACAACACATACAGAGCTAAAATCACAAAAAGGAAAGCTACATTTGCACTTATCAACAGAAAATGGTGAGCTAGTGGCAACACTGCTCAAGTGCTCAAATCATCAATAAACTATCAACTGAGAACCAAATTTTCCAGCTGCATTAAAAGAATGTTATCGGCAATGTTAGCAAAAAGTCTCCTTGGAAGCTTCATAACAAAAATGAAGTTCAGGAAGGTCAGTTTGGTCAGCCTGTTAAAAGTCAGTATCTACATGGTACAACAGGGAACCGGGAAACTCAACAACAGGGAACCGGGAAACTCAACAACAGGGAACCGGGAAACTCAACAACGCTCCAGTGCAGTACAAACATGGTATCTGTGAAAGGCTGATTAAACTGTTTCTCATTACTTTCTGTCAAGGAAGGCAATGCAGGTCAGGGATCAACATTACTTATAAATGAAGCAGCACTGCTCATCACAGTTTTTAGATGTAAAATGTTTGTTTCTCAAAGCAGATACTGCAACAGTTAAAAATGAGGATGAAAAATGTGGATGATAC